TATTCTCAACACTTTTAGTTTCTTGTTCGGTTTGAATCAAGGTCTGGGAAGGTCGTTCTTATGCTGAAGTGCCTTCATCTGGGTCTCCATTTTCTTCTCAATAAGAAGTCGCCTGTTTGGGGTGGGATGTTTTGATCGGCTCGTTCGGGCGGATTGGTGAAGTCGTAGGTGATGGGTTAAGTACCTGTGGTTCCGAAAAAATTGTTAGTATTCTTGATTGATTAATGAAATCGATATCAAATAATGAAATAGCTTACTTCATTACTTGTCATTCCTTTCTGGTCGAGTGCCTTAACTAGCTTACACTGACGAAAGAATCGGTCAAGGAGAAGGTCTTGGTCCGATTCGTCGAGGGGCTTCATCTCGTCGAACAAGGCTTGAAATCGGGTTGGAAACTGAGTTGGTGTGGGATCTGAAGAGCCTGCAGGTTGTGTCGCTGGTGTGGGATTGGAGGTGCTTTGAATAGGGGTTGCTGAATCTGCAACAACTCGTTTGCGTTTTTTTTGCTTAGGTACAAAGGTATCGTTCGTTAGGTCAGGTAAAGTCATCGGTTTGAAGTTCACAACAGGGCCATGATTGTGGTTAGGATTCTCGATGACGATGAACCAAGTCCAATCGTCTGGATTTCGCTTGGAGGTGACTTGAAATGGACAGGTGGGAATGGTTAGGTTGGGGTTTTCGGCCTTTGCTTGCAGGTGCTTCCGATTGGGTCCAAGTCCACATTTCCATTGGGTAAATGATGGTCGGCCGTCGTTTATGGTAACTGGGTAGCGATGTGCGTTGCCGTGAGATTTGATAAAGTGCTCGGTAGCTTTTACCGTAAGATAAGAGGGTGCGGGCTGAGGGAGGGGAGGTATAACGGTGGTATTGTTGGAGGTCTTGGTGGTATTGTTGGAGGTCTCGGTGGTATTGTTTGGATTGGGTTTGTATGTGTTAGAGGTTGACATATTCGTTCGACGATGGGGTATCTTGTTATGATTCGGGAAAGTCTGTCTTTGAGGGGAAGAATGTGTTTTTAAAATCTATGTGTGATGAGGCCAATTTGTGGGTGAATCACAATAGTTGTGATTTGTGGCTACACGTGTGTTCACACTTGTGTAAGGGAGAATCACACATGTGTAATTGATGGTGTGGTGTGATTGCATTGCACACTTGTGTGAAAGTCACTCACACTTATGTTGTGACAGATTCGACTTGTGTCAATTGGAATCTGTTGGCGTAACCTGTGTGATTCATCATCACACATTGTGATTCATGATCACACATGTGTGATCTCATGTAACCTGTAATATAAGTGTGATTCGATTGCACACATGTGCGTTTTGACTGAAATACGTCCATGTGTGATATCTGCTATGTATGTAACATGGTTGCTTGTTGCTTATGTATATGTAGCACAGTTGAATGTGTAGGGTCACACATGTGTGACAAAGAACATGTGCAACAAACCGTAAATTTACAAGTGTGATCTCCAGTCACACATGTGTGACCATCTATCACACATGTGTGACCCGAAATCACCCATGTGTGACCGAGATTCACACCACGTGTGACTGGAGATCACACTTGTGTGACAGCTTCTTATGTAACATCTTGGGATGTTGGGTAATTTTGTATGTAAGTGTTCTATGTCTTAATAGTAGTATGTTGATACTATGTTTACGTGGTGATACTGTTGGCGATGTTAAAATTCATATGTGAACTTGTGTTTTTGTAGTTGTGAATCCGACGCGGCGGCCGCGTCGGCGCGTCGGAAGGGGGGTCTTCGGCCTGTCGCCGATAGGAATGACCCGTTTCCTTTCGGCTAGTATCCGAAGGGGCGGGTAGCCACAGGTGGCCGAGGCACAGCTTGCGATGAACATTCGAGTGAGTTAATTTCCTTGCATGGACTCTTTTCACCTTATTTTTGTTGACTTTTGACCATATATATGTCATTGCAGTTTGCCGAGCACTATGTTCTTGCCGAAAGCAACATCTTGGGTGCGCACAACATGTATTCTTTGCAGGAGAGGTTGTTGGGCCCGGTCGAAAGAACATCGGACATTAGTTATGCTTCACCCTGGGAAGGCCATGTGCCGATGGTCGATTTGCTCAATACCTTCACGCATTTCACATATTGGTATACAAACCAGCAAGCGGTCATCAATGGGTTCCAATATGTTGGAAACGTCATTTTTGATTCTCTCATTGTGGATCAGGCGTGAGTGCTACTTCTTATGCTCTTGCGTCTCTGCCTCTCTCATATTCTAATTGTTGATACACCCCCATCAGTTTCAATTGGCATGCCGGTTATTATTCATCCCGAATATCACACTTCGAACGAGACCACCGGTGCAACCCCCTTTGTAGGCGTTTAGGTATCCATGAACCAAAAGGCCTGTAGCGGACTTTGCTGCTTTTGTTTGTTCTATTTCGCCATTCAGTCCACTCACACTCATTTGTTCTTACAACAACTATCACACTCATTTGTTCTTACAACATTCACGCTCGTTTCTTCTTGCAAATAAATAAAAAACTTTTTTTTTCAATGACACGACACCTCTTTATTTTTGAGCTGTCACACCCAAATGTGATATTGTGCTCCCGTTGGACTTGCGAGATTGTTTAACTTACTTGTTTTCTTGTGACCACATTTTAGTGGCTGGTAAAAATCAACGATGTAATACGTGATTTGTCAAAATCACGTATTAGACTGGTTGGTCTGCTATTAGCGGCGATGAACTTACTAACACTACACCAAATGACATCTTTACCCAGGGGTATAGAAAAGTAGTGCGGGCATAGAAAACTATGGGTGAAGTACTATTCTATACCCATAGAGATTGTGTCCTCTCTGCCTAGACATACCATTCTGCTCTATACCCACAGATGAAAATATCCACATGACCACAGGGACTGAATATAAATTTAGACTCAAAGCCCTTCTTGAGCCTTGTCCAATGGGAAAGCATGGTCCATCAGTCATATTGTACACCCACTTTGGCAACCGGTGTGTGACCTATGCAACCGACTGTGCACCACCAAAAAAGCACAGTGATTTTCGGTTGCATATGTCACCCAAAAATCTCGTTTGGTAAACAAAAATGCAACAAAAGAGATACACGGATCTCTGCACATATGTGCAAAGATTGTGCGCATTCTTGAAAACAACTAAAAGTCAAATATTTTCAAATTAATGCGACTGCGACTTTTCATTGTTCTCTCTTCTCAAGCCATCACCACCAGTTATTTCGGACCTCACCATTTTTTTTCTTTGTTTTCTACAAGTCCTTTTCTCTTCAATTGCAAACCATTCAAATCATCACCACCTCAACCTTTTTCTCTACTTAAACTTTTCAATCTCAAATCCATTCAATCTCATTGTGGTGTTGATTCAGACTCAAATCTGACTTCCTCAAAAGACATCATTTCCACCAATTCAACTTTGCTGCCAACAGTGAAGAGCTTGGTCATTGACCATGTTATCATCAATCAAATTGCTTAAAAAATAATTGCAGAAGTTGAACAGGTAGATGATATTGAGAGCAATGAGAGTGATTAAGTTTTTTTTTTGGTTTTTGAACTCAATCAACAAATGACCTTGTTGTTCCAAATGGTAAAAGACACCATTGTGATTTTGCTTTTTATTTGGTTACCAAGCCTTTCTAACAAGCACACTGTTGTGTGGTTTTACATATACATACACGGTGAGAAATTTTCTCACCGTGATGTGAAAGTTGTATTAAATTATTAATGCAACTTTTTTTTGCCAAAATGGGTGGTACATATGTAAAAAGTGTCTGTCAATCTGTGTAAGATTGTGCATACATACTCACATACATTGCTGAACATGGTTGAGGATCTCTTTTAACACCATAGAATTGTATTTTAGGATAAAAATATCAAAAAACAGAAAATTGAGATTCTGCGCACTGTAGCACTGCCTTTGGGTTCCAATACATACAGCTGAGTCAGGGCAAAGAGAATGCTCAATTTCTCAATCCGAAATATCTTACATAGGTTTATCAAAAGCATTTTTTATTGGTATAGAAAAGTACCCTACCAATAGTTTTCTATGCCCACACTACTTTTCTATACCCCTGGGTAAAGATGTCATTTGTTGTAGTGTAATACTAAATAGTGCAAACCTCTACTGTGGCGTGAGTGTCTTTCAAAACACAAAAGATCGTCATTATTGACAAAAGGAAATGGTCAATGGAACAAACACACACACACAGCGACTACCAAACCAACAAGTTTCCCAAAAATTGCGCGCACGTCACACACAGGTGCCTTTGGCAGAGTACCTTCTAACAATGAGCATGAGGAGAATGTAATGAGTGAAATGTCATAGTTGGCGGCACAAATGAACTACCTCAATCTACAACAATGTACAACCTAGTGAGGTTGAGTGAGGTGTTTTCTGGAACACCTCACGGATATAGAAGCGATGCCCAAAAAAATATATCTTGCACTTGTTTCAACCTTATCGTTTCAAACCTGTGATTATATCCCACTCAGCGCGGAAGTGGTCCCGCGCTCGTGGAATGGCTACGTTGTGCCAATTGATCTCGCCTTCTTCGCCCCATGCCTCGAGCCATTGCTTGAATCGGTTCTCGCCGACTAGGTCCACAAAACCCCAGTAGCGGTAAACTGTAGATTTCTCATAATTATAGGTACTTCCAAATTGCTGCTTCCACTTAGGGACCCGAGATCCACGTCCAGGGGAGGACGCATACCATTCATAGAGTGCTGACACTCGCAAGTCTTCGCCTGGCCATTCTCGTAACACAGAGGCGAGCGCGGGTGTTGGTAACGCGGGGGCGAGTTGCGGTGGTTGTAGGGGGGGTAGCGCAGCTGGGGGCGTGGCTAACTCGGGAATGGAAGGCTTCGATTCGGCCTGGGGAAGTTGAACGTGTGGGACGTGAGCTCTACGAAGATTGCATTGAGTTTGTATTTTAAAAATGCTCACCTCTTCCTCTTCTTGGCCCAGATGGGAAAGGAGGGTGGAGGGTACATTGGCTAAAGATGATGATGGCGGTGTCGAGTTCTTATCTTGTGATTTGTCTGAGTCACCTTCACTTTCCGAGTCCTCAAGGAAACATATGGGATCCGAAGACGACCCATACAGGCTGAGTGACGGGTTTGCTTTAAGGGTGGGGGTTTCTTGTTTGACGACAGCGCCTTTGAGGATCGGGGTCGATGTGTGTTCGAGTGCCTTGGGAGGTGTAGGGACCATCGGTTTACCCAACGCAAAGCGTTCCAACGCATCCTGAAGCTCTGCTGTGAGTGCAGAGTGTTGGCTGGGCACACATATCACTAGGTTCTGGACAGTGTTTGTGTATGTATGTTTGAGCGTAACAGGGAGATCACGCTAAGGATCAGAAGATATTTATCATGTCAGGAGTCGTCCTCAATCTGAAATAATAATGCAGTATGCGTACCCAATTTCTGATTGCTTCATCCCAAATGAGAAGACGGTCCTCCCACGTCGCACCGGCAGCGTCTTTCGCCTGGCGAAGCAGAGATGGACAATCGTCCAGAGCAGCCATGGGCCAAGTCTTAAATGAATGAGAGATAATGGGGTTGAGTTGTTGCTGAATAACGCGTGTCCGTCAGCCACGCAATCCACGAATTGGAGCTATTTGACCAGGGGGACTTACATTTTTGGTGACCAGGTGGAGGCTGACAACCTGGCCGTCTTCGGTTAAAGAGGCCGACACTTTTTTATGCACTTGCATCTGAGCCTGCCGAGCTCTCTCAATCACCATTGACGCCTCCGCATCTTCTGGAACAATTCTTCCAGCTCGATGGATACTCTGAGCGCATTGAGGTATGGTCCGGGGCCGCTTAGCTGTTGGTATTTCGGCCGGAGGGGTCGTACGTTTGTGAGGGGGTGGAGGGGATTGATGCAGAGGGTGCGCGAGAGCTGTGACCTTGACAGGATGTTTACCGGTTAAGTCCTTGACTCGATGGACATAGCAATCGCCCGTTCCGTACGCATGGCAGCACTGCGCGGGTAGAACAAAGCAAAAAGGATGAGAGAAGTCAGAGCTGCGCAATTACAAGCGCTGACTTACAGATTTGCAATAGTGCAGGGTACAGCCCGTATGGCCCCATTTCTTGTGCTTTGTGGCGGTGGGACCATGAGCTGCACGAGCACAATCAATGGCAGGAGGACCTCGTTTGTCTGCCATCTTCGCATTTGCAGCCGCCTGGCGTTTACTCTGTCGAGGGACGACCAAACCTCCCTGAAGATTGACAGGGGGTCCATGAGCAGAACGGTCAAAGGGAATGGGGTACGGATGACCGGCGTTGATTAATGCTATCTCGTGGTTGAGCTGATTGAGTTTGAAAGTCCTGAAATAGTGACCCGAATTTGTTGCGCACTGGGACGTGATTCGGAATAAAACAACATGAGTGCAGTGTCCTGAACTAACTCGAAATGAAGTGGGCAGAGTTGACAAGAAAGGAAGAGCTTTACTTTTACTTTGATGTAATCCTCGCCCCCAAAACAATAAACTAGTGATCGATCGTTTGACGGAGGACAGTTTGGACATGAGAGACCAACCAATCCTTCCAATTTGGGTTTTGGCAGATCAGTGTGTGGCGGCACACGTCGGTATTTGTTCCCAATGTAAGGGTTGCCGTCTGAAGATTTGCCTGGCATATTGTATTGTGGCTGTGATTGATTTCGAAGTGGATGGAGTTGAGGGCAGACCAGGTGCCTTTGCGCGGTAACATTCCAGAGGCCGAAATGGTTCCTTTTCAAAGAGATAGATGTGATACAGTCGGTGAAAATTTTTTTGGTGTTTCATCGCGGTGAAAAAATTAAAGGTGAGTAAGGAATGGGAAGAAAAGGCAACACACGTCATTGCTAGGATCTATGGTTTGAGAAAGGTGGGGGATTAGTACAGCTGGCCACGGGGTCGAGCCCCGTTGCGCAGCATCGGTCGGATCATATGAGCAGGTATAGGGATATGCATATATCATGCAATGCTTATACAGAGAGCTGTGTTCCCACGTGGGAAGTCTCACGTGAGTAGTCTCACATAAAATTCGAAAGTCCGATGCTCCCTAGGCATCTTTGTGTAACTCATACAAGATTCTGATTGGGTCCAACAGGTGGAATTGTATATGGGAATAGAAACCATTACATGAGAAAACGTAGCAATGCTAGGCGGAGTTTGATATATGTAGAACAAGCCTTTGTTAAATTTAGGTCATTATTGACATAGTTAAATCCTGGATTCGAGGTTCCCATGCAGGAAATTTTATGGGTGGCTTTACAGGATTTTTATCCCTGTTACACTATGCTGGTTGTGTCCTACCAAAACCATTGATATAAGCAAGTTGGTAATTGAGGATATGCACAAACGTCAGGGAGAACTTATCAAACATTATTTTAAAATTCAGAAAGCCCAGGACAATGGCTTGAACATTTCAATAGATTTGCAGATTAAAATTATAAGAAATCACTAGCAACATTATCTTGCCTGACATCCATATTACGTGATGTAAGGTTTTATTCCCTACCCCATGACACCAAACAAAAGTTGTGGAGTTATGTGTTCAAAGTATTGATATTACCAAGTTGGACATTGAGAATATGGAACAACATCAGGGAGAACTGATCAATCATCATTTTCAAATGCAGAGCTCCCAGGATCATGGCTTGTGAGTGTAAAAGAGTTTCAGATCAAACTCTGAGGAAATCAACAGTATCTTGCCTGAAATCCAGCTTGCAAAAGAATTACTTGCATGTGATTTGAATGGGTTGTACAATTATAATGCACAGAACCACAGAGCTGACATCAGAAACCAATATTCTGGTATGTAAGTTTTTATTGCTCTACCCTACCACATCAAAAAATTGAGCAGTCATTTGTTTTATAGTCTATCAGTCACCAGATTACACCGCGGGAATGATTAAGTTCAAAACCCGATTGAGCAAAGTTGCGGTGTCCAAGTCCACAACTTTGTTCAATCAACAATCTGGTTCACATCTCGTTCACATCTTGTTCACAGGTTTCCCTTGAGTTGTACTCTCCCTCGTACACGATCAAATTTCAATTTGTCTGTACCAAGCTCCTTTCTTTGTTGATCAATCATCTGGATCACAACCAAAGGTCATATTTTCCATCACACCATCCACCAATTCCCTGTCTGTATCTCAAAAGGTCCATCAACTTTGTTGTTGTTTAGCATCAGCAATGAGCGACCTAAAGAACAGTGTCGGGACAATGCTTCTTGCAGCGTGACAAAAGCACTGCAATGAAACCTGGAAATTAAGACCAGAATACATAGTAGCAAGGACAATGCCTGATGACTTGCAAGGGATTCTATGTATGTACTACATATGACCATGTGTTGAGAATAGAATGAGATTGGTGTAGCAGAGGATAGCTCAAGGGAAACCTGTGAACAAGATGTGAACAATATGTGAACAAAATCCGTGATTGAGCAAAGTGGCGGACTCGGACATAGTAGTCGGTACGAAGTATTGAAGAATGGGAATGTGTCGGGAGGAAAACGGGTCGGATAGTGATGTAATTGGATCAAAGCCTCCTCATCCATTCCTCATAGACGTATTCTCAGAAGAACTCATCTCATAATAGTTCTAATGACGTCAACGGAGGAATGGATGAATAGGAGGACAATTCCCTAATTCCCAACTCCCTGTTTGGAATCAGTAATCAACGATTACAATTCCTCCCTTTCATCCATTATCATTATCCTGAAAAGTTTTCCGGTTTTTGAAATTCTTCAGTAGATAAATTTTATTTACCTCCCTCCCACCCTACAAAAATTAATTAAATTGTCCTTTCTACACTTTATAAAAATATATTTTAATAAATATATGTTTCATTCAGTCATGTATCTTTCCTATGTTATAAAAATGTGAACAAAAACAAAAAAAAATTTATTGTAGAGTTATTATCCATACACTATTAAGCTAAAAAATCTTTTTCACTCTATTTTAGTACTAAACACTTGTATCATAAATTTACAGTCCGCCCTCAGAACTCGCATCAGTTGTCTAGTTAGTTTATCTGTGTGGTCCTTATTCTCAGCCAGGCTTAGTTACCACATGCTAATCAAGCCTGCCCTCTGCGGCCGTTTAGCGTAAATCAGATACAACCAGTATCCAAACCGAAAAGAAGACACATTCCCCGCAACTTCACTCAATTGGGTTTTGAACTTAATCACTCCCACGGTGAATTAGAAAGCTTCATTTGCCTTGCAGATTTCTCTTAACATGAACCTTACATTACTGAGGCACTGGAACATTCAATAGAGGAGGGTGTCAACAAAGATGATTTTTTTCAAGTATGTGCTATGTTTCTTCACAGATATTGAAGCCGGGTTCCTATGCTTTCCTAATATGGTCCATATGGTTTACATAGGGACATCAAGAATAAAACTGGATTTCATGTGGGATTTCATGTGGCAACTTTCAAAAGTAGAGAAATATTGTTAATGGTTGGGTTGCACTTTGGTGTGATTTTCCTGGTGTGGAGATCACTGTGTTTGAGTTAAACAAATTATGTATTTGTTCTTTCCATGTTTCCATTGGCCTCATTAATATGGCAATTTAGGTGCCTAGAGAGGAAGTTTTGGAAACATGATGATAAGAACTTGATACATTGTATAAGCAATACAGAGTATACAGTGATGAGAGGAGGAACCAGGATGAGTCATTATTCATTGTTAAGTACAATAATTGGATACGATTGTAGCATACTTTCCCTGTTGCGGGCATGCCCGCATAGTCTCTAGTCAATACAAAGACTAGTACACCTTAGAAAAAGCGGCCATCTAATCAAAAACAAGAATGGGTAGTGACAATAATTTGGAGATAGTATCTTAATGGAGCCAAGCTTTTGCTTATTACCAAGCCTGGGCTTACCGAGCCTAGAGGCCTAAAATTCAGGGCGTGCCCTGGCCGGCTCTGCGAGTTTTTGAGGGCTACTCGGGTCTATCTGAGGGAGGGGATGGCCCCGGGTAGCCCCCGTCACACTCGCACTACAAGAAATATAATATTTTCTGGGCAGAAAATTAAATTATTGATATACAAAAATATTGAGAGGCCAGGAGAAGGGCAAAAAATAAATAAAAATATGCATCTTGTTCCCTGCATTGAGAGCTTCACTCTCCATATTTCTCCGTATTTTTACAGTCCATATTGATAAGTGTACTAACAATAAACCTTGATAATCATCCAATTACAACCTGTAACAAGCACTGAAATTTGGCTGATTAGTGTTTAGAGAAACTTTTGAATTCTGAAAACACCCATAACTTTGTCAAATCTGCCTCAAAACACTTGATTTCAGGTGCATTAGAAAGCTGAACTCCCGTTCTCAAACTTTCATAACATCAATAACTATGTAGCTAGTATGACAAACATTCTATGGATCTGTATGTGCAAATGTATAAAAAAGATGATATCTTTTTTAGCAGACCAGCATGCTGTGTGGTCTTATTATGAACTATTTGGAGGACCATTCCAGCTTGCCAATGCACTCAAAATCGAGCGTTTTGGCCCGGAATTGAAAAAGTTATGAGTTTTCTCAGAAATCAAAAGCTCTAAACACTAATGAGCCAAATTTCAGTGCTTGTTACAGGTTGTAATTGGTTGATAATGAAGGTTTATTGTTAGTACACTTATCAATATGGACTGTAAAAATACGGAAAAATATGGAGAGTGAAGTTCTCAACGCAGGGAACAAGATGCATATTTTTATTTATTTTTTGCCCTTTGCCTGGCCTCTCAATATTTTTGTGTATCAATAATTTAATTTTCTGCCCAGAAAATATTATATTTCTTGTAGTGTCGGGGTCGGGTCAGAGCTCTACTCAAAGGTGATGGTGAAATCAAATTGAGAGATTGAAATGTTTTTGGAAAAAAGTTGATGCTTATCTCAGCAAAGCTCAGCATATTTTTTTGTTCCAATGATGAAAACATAAACAACCTATGGTGGGAGACACCAAAGATAAGAAAAAGCCCAATGAATCTTGAAATTTTACGCGAGCCCGCAGTTCTCAATTTGGTGAGAAGCCGAGAATAATTGTAAGATCACCTCCTCCAGAGCTTCTCAAAAGTAGCTTTTTAGAATGTTTCATCAAACATTACAAGAGCTATGTAAGCTGGGGTATCTTACATGGCAAGCTCATCTCTCTGAATTAAATGAATGCCTCAAATGAAAAGGTCACAAAAGCTATGCGATTGCTCTAGAAAGCTAGTTTTGAGGAGCTCTGGATCAGAGCGTCACCAAAGTGCCCTCGGCTTCTCACCAGTTTGAGAACTGCGGGCTCGCGTAAAATTTCAAGATTATTCGGGCTTTTCCTTATCTTTGGTGTCTCCCACCATATGATGTTGTGTACGCATCAGATTGCTCATTTTGTTCTTCTGAATATCCCCTCCAGGTATACATATATTTAATGCAATGGTACCCGGACGAGGCACAAGGTAGGTTGCCCGGGTCCATGGACTAGCGGGTCCATTCGTCACGCGTCAGAGGAGAACTCATGCCGGTTAGCAGCCTGGTCATGGTTA